AGAATGGTCTCATATGGGAACGCAAAGGGGTACACCCCTATTCAGGGATATTTCACATTATCTAGCTAAGTTACACAGGTATTACTCTTGGATTTATCGATCCTTTTTCTAGGATTCTATCTCACAGGAACATGAGCAATATGTAAAAAGACATGTACCATACTAGTGATTGCAGGATTATTTGTAATATCAAAAAACTGGAGTAGACTCAAATGTCCATAAATTGGGGACTGGTTGAATAAACTATAATGCACCCATACAAGAGAGTACTATGCTATTTGAAAAATGGAGTGCAGACTATCTCTAAATACTGCTATGAAATAATCTCCAGGATACAATGTTAAGAATAAGGTAGAGGGCTTCCCTGGTGGCGCAGTGGTTGAGAGTCCGCCTGCCGATGCAGGGGACATGGGTTCGTGCCCCGGTTCGGGAAGATCCCACATGCCGCGGAGCGGCTGGGCCCGTGAGCCATGGCCGCTGGGCCTGCGCGTCCGGAGCCTGTGCTCCGCAACGGGAGAGGCCACAACAGTGAGAGGCCCGCGTACCGCAAAAAAAAAAAAAAAGGTGGGGGTGATTCTTATCTTTTAGAGACATGTATAGGAAAAGATTTATGAATGAAATGATGTCTGATACCTGCTTCAAAATAACATAAGAGAAAAAACAATAATATAAGAGGAGGAAGTAGATGAGCATGTGCATGGGGAAGGACTGGCCATATATCTAAGGTTTGGAGGCAAGGTGATGTGTGCTTGAGGTTCATTGTACTGTTCTACTTTGGTGTATGTTGGAAATTCTCCATAATAGGTACTTCTAAAAAATATGTTTTTGTAAGTTTAATACAGAGCTTGCTAGATATTTTGTTTACCACACTATCAAATTCTATGAATACTGAATGTGAATAACTGATAGATAGTGCTAGTATTCCGTAGCAGATGAATTGGATTCACTGAAAAATTGCATTTAAGATATTTCACTTTGATTGATCAATGTATTGAAAGTATTAAGTTCAGTAAGTTTATGTACCACAAATCCTAGACTGGTAACCAGTAATTGTGAGCAGGACAACATGTTAGTTACCTTAGAACTGTGTAGTTCCCTCACGGAAAGCAAAGTCATCAATTTCACCTACAGAGTTCTTACATACAAGTACGAGCAATTATAAACCAATTTGCTTTCTATATCTAAGTATTAAAGTATTAGTAATTTTAAAGTATCATACTCAGTTCACAGGTACACTATTCTCAGTAGTGTACATGAAATGGCATAAAAAACAATGCACTAGTATATCGATTTACAAAAGATAAAGAACTCTTCAACTGCTAAAACTACTGTCAATTAAGCACAACGTTCACAAGGAACAGGAGAGGGCACAAAATCTGCTTACTTCTCTCAGCAGCTATCTGATTCTAGTAGCATTTACAAGCAGCTCTGATCTTCATGAATATCGTGCCTCACTCATGCTTTATGCATCTTTTCAACTTATTCTATCTCCCAAAAGACAAAAGTGATAGTGTGTTAAATGTTGGATGGAAGGAAAAAAGGGAGGGAAGGAGGGGGAGAGAGAGAGAGAGAAGGTGGGAGGGAGAGAGGGAGACATGGCCTAATAAACAATACATAGGATATTTTGAAGCATATTATTTGCATGACAATTAAATATCTTAATAATATACTATACCTTACAAGTAGCAGAACAGAATGGTGCTAAGTCAAGCGTCAGTGGGAAATCTACATGTCTGTTTACTTTGCGAAGACTCAGGCCAGCCTCAAAAAACAAAAAAAAAAATTTTCTTAATGTAACAACTTTAGTCTAGATCATTGCATTTGTTAATTAAAACCAAAAGAGGAGTCCTAGGGCTTCCCTGGTGGCGCAGTGGTTGAGAGTCCGCCTGCCAATGCAGGGGACGCGGGTTCGTGCCCCGGTTCGGGTGGATCCCACATGCTGTGAAGCGGCTGGGCCCGTGAGCCATGGCCGCTGGGCCTGCGCGTCCGGAGCCTGTGCTCCACAACGGGAGAGGCCACCAACAGTGAGAGGCCCGGTACCGCAAAAAAAAAAAAAAAAAGAGGAATCCTAGACGTTTTTTCATAGATATAAAAATATGACTAATGAACAGTCCAAAACTGATATATGACTAAGTTCTCAATAAGCTGTTATTGCAAAGATCATTCATTTACATGGGTATTTTTACCACAAACAATATGAAAATAATTGCTTTCACTGTGCCTTTCAACACTTACGGGAAAATAAATTCAATGTGATAAAAACTCAGCTACTGATACATATGCTATCATAAAAATGTACTCAACTGAAGAGTCAGGAGTCTGGTGTTCTAGGCCTAACTCAACGACTGCTTAACTGTTGTCTTGACTCTAGACAACCTCATCTAGATCAAGGTAGAAAACGGGTATAAATGGATTATATTAGGTCCCTTCAGTTCTAAAATTCAGTGTATTCATTCATTAAAAAGAGAAAAATCTGAACACTCAAATCATTTTAACAGTAAAAGTAAACATTACATATTATATAAATCAAAATGAATATTCATGTTGTTAAGCAAACTCTATTTCTTTCCC